CTGGTCCAGCTAACAGTGCTGGGAGTGGGTAGGGATCATCTGGTATAAATATGGCCACCAGAGGCTCTTCTTTTCCAGCAGGAACTTTGAATGAAATGTTTCTCTTAGAATAGGATTCTGGACAGTCACAGTAATGAACTTAAGTAATGAAGTATCCCACTCTTTCAGCTACCAGTACATCCAAAGACAACCCAAAATATCTCCTAGCTCCAACATCAGTAGGAATCACCAAGAAGAACTTAAAATGTAAATAGATAATGTCACATGCTCATTCAGGGTGCCATGCTAGCAGTGGTGGCCTTCAGAGTCAGACAACACACTCGTTCTAGGCAGGAGAAATAGCAGGAGACAAACAAGAAAAAGGAACAAAGAAGCATACCAGAGAGAGAAGGAAGAAGCAAAGGAGAGGAATAAGAAGCAGAGCCAGTTACATCAAGACTTGGAGAAACGTAAGCACAAGACATAATATCCACAGGCATTCAGGAAAAGGACAGGCCAAGATCTCGGAGCTCAGAATTCTTTTAAGCTCTCACTGTTTCATGCTGGAAGGACACAAACTAGAACTGTAAAGCAGAAGAAGAGAAGCCATTTGGTACAAGATAAGCAACTAAGACCTCAACAGTACCTGTTGCTTCTGTTGAAAAGTATTAACTAAGGAAGAAAAGTGAAGAGTGTTTTAGAAAGTTTGTTTTATTTAGGAAACAATTAACAAGTTTAGCACTTTAAGAGTTACTCTTCATTTTTATCTGTAAAATGGTTGACTTTATATAATACCTCAATCATACATGTATGGAGGCTTCAGCTCCCTGGGGAATGTTGAGATATCTATCAACATTTCCAAATGCTCTTACATATATATTTTCGTAATGTACAGTAATAAGACAGTTCAGGGGAACGATTATTTTTAACAACCAAAACCACATCTTTACAAGTCTTGTCCCTTTGACCATGGTTAACTGGGGAAACTGAAAACTTACTCCAAATAAGATACTCTGGCTGAAAAGTTTTAGAGTTCCTCCTATCTAACATGCTTTCAGAGCCTGAGGTACTTTTTTTTTTTTTTTTTTTGGTCCTTGTATTAGTCTGCTTTTGCCGCATAACAAAGACCACCCCCCCCAAAAATGCATCTCACTAGCATAAAACAGTAAGCAATTTTTTTCTTGCTCATGGAAAAGATCCCCCCCCCCCAAAAAAAATGCATCTCACTAGCATACAACAGTAAGCAATTTTTTTCTTGCTCATGGGTCTGCAGATTGGCAGAGAGAGCACTGCTCCAGCCTTTGGGTCAAGTACAAGTCCTCTCCACATGTCTCATTCTGAGGCCCAGGCCAGAAAGCCTTCGGCTCCCTGGGGCATGTTTTCTCATGGTAGAAGGAGGGTGCTCCCAGAGGACAAGCAGAAACATATGCTACCACTGAAGGCATATGCTTGGAAGAGCCACCCTGCTACTTCCGTCCACATTCCACTGGCCAAAGCAAGTTACATGGCCAAGGCCATCTTGAGTAGAGCAAAGAATACTCTTCCCATGGATGGAAGGAAAGAAAGGAAGGGAATATGTGCTGAGAAATGTTCCGATCCACTGTAGTATTCAACTCTCGACTAAGTTATAATTCCAAAAGCTCATTTTATTAGTCAATAATTTGGGAAGTAAATTAAATATTCTTGCAGAAACAGTATTATCAGACGAGATTTTTTCATTCTCCAGCCATCCAGTTGCTCTATTAGAGTCAAACATTAGTAGAATTTAGCCACCTTTCTTAACAGTATTTCTATAGGACAAAATGTATTAAGAATTCCAGTTCGAGATTCTCACACACACCCCACATTAACCTAAGGATTTCTCCTTCTCTTTACCCTCTTTCCAGCTCTAAGCCATCAGTATAACTGTGAGGATAGGGCTTCCTCCCAGATAATCCTCCAGGGACATATCTCTATCTTGAACATATTCCCACACTTTTTTTTTCTTCTTTCCTATGTTCTGGGGACTAAACTGGCTGCTTCCTTTTCTGATGCCACTATCTAATGTTCTCCTTCTTAGACTCTGGGAGGAGAACTCAGGCTTGAGAATTTTGCCCTTGCTTTCCTGTCCTTTGCGAATTCAGTGCCACCTTATAAAGTTTTTCTCAAGATGTTTATCACTATTAGAACCTTTCTGCGAACAAGCTCCTTCCTCTCTGCCTACCCTTTTACTCTTTGATTTTCAGAAGACACTATGAGGAGGCTAGCATCCACGGACTGGTAGGGAACTCAGGATAAATCAGGTTTCAGGGGCCCAAAAATTTGCCTGAAATTATATGTAAAATTTTCTATTTGTAGGTGTTTTTCTAGGTCGATTATATTCCACAGAGTATTAGCAGAGTCTCTAGTCCAGTCAGGATCTGATTAGGACTGTGAGCACCTTAAGAGCAGAAACCCAGATTAAATGGAAGTGATCTGCATAGCCATGATAATGTTAAGTCTTTAGATTACATAGAAGATTCAAATTCATGGACATTTCAGATACCCAGCTCGCTTCAGTGGACACTGCATCACAAAGATAGAAAAGTTGATAGAGCTTCTCTGCTACATGTGAACTCCAGGGGCAATGGGTGGGTCTTACTCATTGTTAACTAATGCTTACCACCTGCTGGGCATCCCACAGGTGTTGGTGGAAGGAGAGGAGGTGGGGTTGGAGTGGGAATGGAACTGAGATTAGGGGAACATTTTGACTAACTGATTATGAGCCTGATAGTTTGGGAATGGAGACTGCTGCTCCAGAGGTGCACCTTTCCCTCCTTTAATGTCTGAACTGAATTTAATGGATTCCTAAGAGCTACTGCGGGCCCATATGGCTCCTTGATGTGAATCGGAAGAAAGGCATCCCTCCTCTGGTGGGGCGGCCCTGGGCAGGTGCATGGTGTGCTAATAGATTAAGATAGTTATGATGGAGGTTTTAGCCCCTATTTGCCCTTCCCTCAATAGAGAAAGCCTTTTATTTCCTGGCTTGAGATGTATTTCCTTTTTGGTTTTTGTTGTTATTTTGTTTTGTTTTTGGTTTCAGAAACTTGTCAGTAACTGTTTCCTGTTTTGGTTTGGACAATAGTTTAGTAATTACTCTTTACACCTGAGCAAGGCCCTGCGTTCCCTGCTTATTGACAAACCTTGAGGAAGGGTAAAAAGTTAGGGTGAAGTCTCTGACTGTAGCACTAAGTTTGTTCTCATTAGAAAAATCACTACCTAAGTAAAGTAAATGCATCGTGCAGCAACAACAACAACAATAATAATAATAATAATAATAATAATAATAATAATAAATCTTTTAAAGGATCGAAGTCTCTGACTGTAGCACTAAGTTTGTTCTCATTAGAAAAATCACTACCTAAGTAAAGTAAATGCATCGTGCAGCAACAATAATAATAATAATAATAATAATAATAATAATAATAAATCTTTTAAAGGATCTGGGGTGGGTTGGAGAGAAATCCTGGGTAGATAACAGTCAACAGGCAACCCAAAAGGTGTTGCCTTTTCCTGAGGGGCAGTTTATATATCAAGATAATTACTGTCTACATTTTATTTAGTGTCCCTTGAAATAGGTATTTGTTCATTATGGACACAAATAATTCATGGCAGTCAAAAAATGTATAACTATGTGAACACATTATTTAAATGGATATGTTTTACGTCAATCAATTATTTTTTCTTTATCACAGAAGTGCTTGACATTTAATCCAGCCAAAAGAATATCTGCCTACAGTGCCCTGTCTCACCCATACTTCCACGACCTGGAGAGGTGCAAGGAGAACCTGGATTCCCATCTGCCACCCAGCCAGAACAGCTCGGAGATGAATACAGCCTGAAGTCCCAGCTGCTGCCTTGAGCTGATCACCAAGAGAACAGCACTGGTGGCTGATGGGTCCCCCTGAGTAAGCCCTGCAGAGCTGTTGAAGATCACTGGCTGGAGACCTTCTCGCTGCCGTCTTCTGGGTGGGCTCTGCTTCCCCAAGGAAACCTCCTAGTTTACTGTCTGAAATCAATGCAAGAGTGATTGCAGCTTTATGTTCATTCGTTTGTCTGTCTGTCTGTTTGTTTCAAGAACCTGGAAAAATTCCAGAAGAGAAGCTGCTGACCAATTGTGCTGCCGTTTCATTTTTCTAACCTTGAATGCTGCCAGTGTAAAGTGAGCAATCCAGGCGCAGCTGAGTTATGACGTAATCTCTCTGCAGCTGCTGGAGCCTAATTTGGTACTTTTGAGCGAGTGTGTGTGTGTGTGTGTGTGTGTGTGTGTGTGTGTGTGTGTGATTCTTGATCTCTTAAAGTGTTACTTTCTGTAAACGACAAGAATAATTGAATTTTAAAGACTCAAAGTGACCCATAAATAACAGGTATCTAAACGTGATTCACCAGAATGGGCTTCTCAAATTAGAAAGTTGAACCTATGTCCTCAGAATTTCTTTTCTGGCCAAAAGCTGTACATTTGTTAAACACAGCAAAGAGAAAAACAAATTCTAGTATCTTTTGAAAGACCTGTTTTTTAAAGCACGCATACTATTTACTATTCAAAAAGCTGAATTTACTCATTCTAAGTCAATTTTAACCTGTATAATATGCTTTATTGTTTCTTTTGAAAAATGCCCCGTAAACTCTTTCTTACTTGCTTATAGATTTAGGGAGTGTACCTCAAATACGTAAAATTGTCAAAAAAAAAAAAAATAGAGAAAGCCTTTATTTCCTGGTTTGAAATTTATTTCCTTTTTGTTTTTTGCTGTTGTTTTGTTTTTGACTTTAGGAATTTGTCAGAAACTGTTTCCTTTTTTGGTTTGGAGAGTAGGTCTCCCTAACTGGAGACAGGAATTCCATTTAAGTTTTCCCCACCTATTATACTGTACTTTTTCTACCATGCACTGCCTTGTTTGCAAAGTATCCATCTTATCTATCCCCCAGTGCCTCATATATATTACTATTATTACATAACTAATAACAGCTTGCTTATGCTATTCCCATGCACTTTCTTTCAATGGACGTTTCGTAGGTAGTTAGATTTAGATTATGATTTATGGCTCCAATTCCACAATCCTAACAGGATCCCCTACGTTCTCACTCTAATGCGATCTTCCTAGCTAGCATTCACTGTCGTTACCTAGCCAATGAGTAGAAGACTGGTTCTTCTCTATCACTAGCACATAGATTGCTGTAAACTTACTTAGTATTTTACATTTTTATTGAATATGTTGTCAGTGTAGTATCTGAGGGAATATCTTTAACTCTTTTTTAGAAATAAGTATTTAGTCTATAAAACGATCTTTTCTCCATCCTCCAGGCTGTGCTTATTTCTAGTGCCTTGTGCATACTCTTGCTCTCTGCAGAGCCAGCCTGACCTGGGCATTGTGACAGCTTTACTTTTTCTCTTGCCATTTACTCTATAGTACTTTATATTTCATACCATCTCTGCCTTATATGTGATTAGTGCTCAGTTGGCTCTAATAACCAGAAGACACAGAGATTAAGTATGTTTTGAGACTTTTAGCTACTTTTGCTTTCTGACGCATGTTTTGAGTGCATGCAACAGTTAGACCATGTTTAAAGTAGGGTTTTTGAAGAATGGACATTGTTTCACTCAGTGGAAAATATTCCAGATGATGTTTATGTATAGTCAAGCCTTACTTAATTCTTCACAGCTTAATATTGTATATGACTATCTTGAACAAAAGAAAAATTAGGAGTTTTCTCCTTGAGAGCTTTCTTGGGTCAAGAACCATTTATTTTTAATACATATATTGTTTAACATTGTTCTATTTCAGTAACTTGAAGAGCAGGAAAATTTTTCTAAAACAAGATATGAATGAGAAGATGGGCCATAAGAATGTTTTACCCTTGTCATCATTGTGACAACACTGATTATGTTTTGTCATCACTGTACATGCTTGAGATATAGTGAATCTGGCGCATTTAGGGCAAGGCATACTTGCAAGTCTCCCCCTGGAAAAGTGAGTTCTGCCTTTACTTTCACTGGATTCAAAATACAAAGACATCTTTGCTGAGGCCTAGAAATTGAATTTTAAAACTCGCTGCAGTGATTCATCATGAGCTTTTCCGTTAATATCCATGGTTAGAGCTAACATAATTTGAGTTTTTCCTCAAGAAAAATGCAGCTGTTCTAAACTGGAATTTTTTAAGCACATTTTAGAATTTTAAATAAGAGCTCAACTTGTATTTCTACCATATACTTTTTGCTTCATTTCTTAGTAGTGTTTATAAAGAAAAGGCATAAACATTTTGGCATCAGATAATTGGCAAATTATCCTCTAAGAGACAGAATGCGAGGGCGTCTCAGCCTCTCTGAACTTGTTAAGAGTCTGTTCTCGGCTCTTATACCAGTGTGGTTGTTGCACCTGAGTGATTACTCTCTTGTTTTATGTCATTTACATCACCACTTCTGAAGTCCAGATCGCATGTAAGCACCCTTGCCATTAGGGCACTTCGAAACACGTAGCAGAATGCAAACTTACCGAATACGGCTTATTCTTTTGTGACATATGGTTTCAAAAGCTAGGCAGTGGTTAGCTGAAAAGTTCATGCTGCCCCAGAGTTATACTGAGGCAAGCAGTAAAAATATGGTGACAGACTTGAAATCCCATTTGTATTTCTTTCTAGGACTAGTCCGAGAATGTGTCCAGTAGTTTCTATATGATATTACATTCTAGCAGCCCAGGAATTATGGGAATAGTTGAGCAGGGTGGAGTTTGTAACAATATACATTTTAAAAGAGTAAAAGAAAAACCTGTCTATTTAGGCATCACAGTTATAGTGTGGCAAAGAGTAATAAGGATCTAACCCTATAATCTTAAAAACACAATTCCTAAGAGCTTGTAAGAATCCAGTGCGGTGGAGCCTCCCACTTTGTCTCTCCTTTGAAGTGAATGGGAACTCAAGGAGCAAAGAACCTGTTTTGGAAGAAAGCTCCAGGCCATTTCAGCCCCCTGTATTCTCACGATTTTCTCTCAGGAAACACACATTATGAATGGCAGATTCTTTATTTAGCCCCAGGTGACTTACTAAAATTAGTTCAAAATATTCACCTAAGAATAGAATCTCAGCCTTTTAGTTTTAAGTAAAAATGAAAATTTTAGAATATACATAATGTTAATATTTTAAAGAAAATGTGTACCTTTTAATAGAGTATAGTTAGACTCCAGAATGTGGTACTATCCATAGTGATGAGAAAAAAAACTTAAATTGTACCAAACATTTTGAATCTTAAATTATGTATTTAAATTGAGCTTTTAACTAACTATAGCAGCTTCTCTTAAAAGTAGTGCCTATAAAAGTCAGTAATGGCAATTTTCATTCCGTTATGGAAATTAAATCATGTAAAATTTCTAAAATCATAAACATTAAAATTCTTCTTTCCAAAGTACTGCTTCAAGTGACAACTTGTCTGTTTTTTATGATAAGTACATAAGAGTGTTTCACATTTTCGAAAAGCAGACTTTTGTTGCATAGTTGAGTCTAGGAAAGAATAATGTTAAAAGTTAATAAGCCCTTATAATTACTCCATTTTGTTAGTATAGAAAATATAAAATATTTCCTTTAGAAAGAAAATATGGAGATATAAATTCTTAGATATTGATGGAATTCAAAAGAATGCATGTTTAACATTTTGACACAAAAATAATGTATTTTATTTTAAAAACTTTTATACTATTTCTAAATCTTTAACAATCATAAAACAGTTGGCAATGGATAGAGGAAATTCTAGAGACAATGAAAGTATTCAAAGAACGATAATTTCAAAGTTAAATATGTTTTGAGGGATATATATTTTATTAATAAATATATTATAAGAATTTATATTGAACTCATCTGGCAACTATGAATTTGATAGGTTTAAAACAAATTTTAATGGAAAAGCTATTCCAGTTACCATTTCAAAAGTTGAGCTGAGCAAACGAAACCATCTATATTCCTTCCTCATTTCGTGGGAAGAAGCAGTCACATAAAGCTACACTTGTTATGCAAGCCTAAGAATGTTCATTGTTTTAAAAAAAAAAAAAAAGTAAATTTTAAAAAGACGTGTTTCCTATGCCACCTGGATTTTTGAAAAATTGTGAAACCCAAACCATTTGTCATGTGCATGTACAGTCAGTACATTCAGGTATATGATTAAGAAGACAGTTGCATATTCCTTCTCCACTGGGGAAAAAGTTCTTGAGGCTACCAAACACCTGCCAAGCAATGGAAGTCCTCAGATAATTAGTAATGGTGTTTTCCTCAAAAGCATAAGAAAATAAAAGCATTTTCATTTCTTATCAATGTTCAACCTAGTTTTGTTACATACCTATATCTCAAGCATTTCTAACTTGTACTTTCTCAGAAAATAAACCAAAAATATTCTTCTGGCCTTTTCTATCTTCTCACCTTTGTAAACAACAGAAAGAGGAACGTTCTGCTTTTTAAATGTTTTTCTTCAATTAGTTATTTGTGAATTTTTATAATGAAGTACGAAGGGCTTTTCAAAATGTTTTCTATTTCTCAGCAGTCCCAGGGAGTTAAGTTAGATAAAGGAATGGACTCCCATCAACATATTTATGTTTCCTTGATACTGGTACTCTGGCCTTCAAGAAGAAAATGAGATTCACCGGAAAATAAATACAGGCTTTTTCAAGCACCTATTTAAATTCTGTTACAGCAATTGGAAGTTAATATGGTAGGAAAAAGAGGTGTAATTGTTCCATAATTCACACTGTCCCAAGTGATGGGCCTTCTTGTTTTATTCCAGTATGTGCCACAAGGTGGCACTTTCAGGGAGGGGAAAATCTGAGCAAGGCTAAAGAGGTATTTCTGAAGACTCCTTCTAACTTTATTTTTCTGCACATACTTAACTCTTGCCTAGCAGTTGTTTTTCAGGGTGATTAATAGTCTTCAAATGTTCTATAACTTATTTTAGTTGTTAGCTAGATTCGGAACAATTGCAAGTAAATTGTTCTTGAAGATGGATAATACACTCATTTTGGTCATTTAAGTGCATAAATTTACTTAAACATTCATTTACTTAAACATGTTTTGAGGTACCTAATTACCTCACTTTTCTAGGTGTAGAAATTTCAAAGATGGATAGGCTTATTAACATAAAGGCAGCACCCATCTGTGAACAGGAAAGTTTTATTGGGAGTGTAAAACTCCTCCAGTGCCCCCAGCCACAAAACCAAACCCCATTTGCTGCTTTCACATTCCCTACCTTGGCAGCCATTAGACATTGATTAAATTTTTAATCCTAATTTAAAAAGCAGATGAACAAAATAAGTAATTCATGTTATTAAATAGCAGAACTATGTTTTCTAAAGAATTGGCTATGCTGAAACAGCCATGAAATACTAAAATACCTTGTAACTTTTATGTTTGTATAATCACAAATGTAAATTCAAAGAAATTCTAATTTTTTTTTAATTTTGTCTAAACATGAGCATAATAATTTAGGAGTATATCTACACAAGTCTTTCTCCACTCATGAAGTTCTTTGGCAACTTTATTGTAGATATAAATAGAGATATCTATATGCTCTTATATTTTAATTCACAGGTCTGCCAAGAGACCCATTTACCCCCAGGTGATTTTAGTTAATTTTAGAAGCTACCTTCTTCAATAGTATCACTGGAATTTAGGAAGAAGGAAATTATAATATTTTTCAGAATTTCTTGAGCACAGCATAAAAGAAGGCTGTTTATTCAGAGTGGCAGAAATTCGATAGTGCCTGCTTAACTTTTCTAAGAGTAGCCAGCAGACAAGTCTCAGTAATTCATACTGAATCAAAATACCGCACACACTAGGGCCTCAGAAACTCTGAGAAATCATTGGCCTCATCCCTCTGCTTACAATTCCACTGAAGTAGTTTAAAATTTAAGGCCGAATTCAAACCTAGAGTTTGTTATCAGCTGGGCCAGTCTGAATTCTATTGCTTGTGTTTAAAACTTCACTCATACCTGAAAACCTTCCGGGTGCTCTGCACGGTCACCCCACCCCTTTGGCAATAGAGTGGCAGTAGGCGGAGCTGGCTGGGACCCGCCCGCCGTTCACCTGTTAGTGCTAAAAACGTGTACAGACCCGGCGAGAATCTCCGAGGTCCACGTGCCCCGCTGCTACTGTCTCAGAGGCATCTGTTCTGCAATCTTAGGAAGTAGAATGTCCCTATAAGCAAACGGGTGTCTTCTGTGCGGAAATAAGTACAACACAATTCTCCGAAAGTTAAAGTTCGGGTATAAAGAGATGCTGCTCTGTATGAAGCTATCAGGCATCTCTCAAGCTCTAAGCTCAGTTTTGTTTTGTTTTGTTTTAAGAGAAGATGTATAATTACAGGAAAGATTTTTTATTTTTTTATTTTCAATCATTCTACATATATGATGGCAAAAGATATGCCTGGAAAAAAAGTTTTGTTTTGAAAATATGTTTATTTTCTGCATCATCTTCAGTTGGCAAAAGCTCCTAACTCTTTTGTTCCTAATTTTTTTCTTTCTCTTTTTACTTTGTCATTACTTGACAAATTAATTACTTTAAAAGCAAATTATCTCATATAGTAGGAGACTTTCCTGTTTAGAGGAACTTTTGTGTGAACTTTTCATTGAGCAGATAATCGGCCCTTCTCTATTTTAGGCATTTAGATTGTCAAATGTAGGTTTTCTTAAAGGGAGCACATAACAATACACATTGCTACCAAGAACTATGACTGTAGCACTAATCGACAAGCAGAGAGCCACACAGTTATTTAATTTCTAACTCTCTGTAGTTTCTAGCCAGATTCCGTTGCTTAGGTTACAGTCCTGAAGACTCACTTTGTACCCTCACTTGAAAGTTTCTAATTTTAAGTTTTGTGACATGCAGTAATAGGTATTAGCTAACAATAGTTCTGTGAGCACCAGCAACTCTGAAACTGATCTCGAATAATGAAAATAGATCCCAGCAATAATTCATTTCTTGAACTCACCAAGTGCATTATATATCTTCTCATGTGGGACCTGTGTTTGAAACAATGTACATGTGACTATTATAGTTCCTCACTTACTTTGCATTCATTTATTTTGCTACAACAAGTAATGAATATATTAGTTAGTACATGGAGTGAATAGCATCAACTACCCCTAGGGTCAGCACTTAAGATGGGGAATTTGTATTTCAAGTTGTTCTACATTTGCATAAATTATTTCTATTATTATTCATTTATATTATTTATTTCTGTATCACACTAGTCCTGTGAAAGTGCAACTAAAGGCAGGCCACAATAAGATATGCATTTAATGTTCATTACCACGGTCTTGATGGAGCTAAGCCCCCAACTAAGCTGCATGCATTTTAACATGATGGTAGAATTTAAGTCTATAGATATAGTGTTTTGTATCTAGGTGTTTTATCATTATATAAAAGAATTAAAGCAGAGGACTTTATAGTTGTTCTTTTGTCAAGTATGCATATAGTATAGTGTGAAAATACAGCAAAAATCAAAACTACAGAGAGAAAAGCATCAGATATTGCCTTAATTTAGGAACTCTGCCAGGTGGCCATCGGAGTAGATGCCAGGCAGAGACAGGTGTCTGGGCAGTGCTTCTTGTCTGGCCTTGAGAAGAAGCTTCCCCCTTGGGTCTAGTGCCCTCATAGGCGTCATGTGCAGTAGAGGGAACAGGTAGTGCTGTGGAAATGAGAGCAGTGTGAGAGTTTTCTGTAGAAGCAGAACTGTCAGCTTGTGCCTCGAGGCTTCTAGAATGTGTCAGGTGGAGAAATCCAAGTTTCCGGGCTTCGGGCAACTTGGTTTTGTGAAGAAGCAATCCAGTCTGGTAATAAAAACAAGGATGGCATGCATGTACAGTAGTCAGCAGTGGGACTTTAACAACCAACAGTTCCCAGCCACCTCAAAACCTTGTTGTATTTCTGGTACTTTAGTTTTGATTTGAAGATTAAACGGCAAGTGTATGGTATAGAAGAGCAGTATGTGTTAAGAAAAGCACAATATCAGTTCCCATAGAGTACAGGTTAGAACTAGAGGGTCTTACAGGAATATCATTTCTGAGATGTATAAAATGTATTTGTGTTTCTACATTCCCATAGGGCCTAGTTAAAACTTTCTTCCAGGTTTCAGCAAGGTTTTCACACCCAGTGAGCTTGTTTGTTTTTGTTTTTATTTTTTTTTTGTTTTTTGACTTATAATAGAAAATGTTCTAAAAGTAGAAAAAAATCTTAATTCAGACATTTGATTTGTTGGTTTCTGTGTTTGAAATCACGGTTCTGGAGATGTAATGACTGTGCATGTGCATGTAAGATACTAATCTGGACTGTGTGAACCAGCCCAAGGTAACCAATACTAGCCCACCTCCTGCATCCCTTCCTCCCTCAGAAGTGCTCCCTGCCCCTATCCTGGCCAGCCCATGTGATGCTCTCCATCCTCCTCTGCTGCTCTTTGGGCTTCAGGGACATGATGAGAGATGCTTTAGGCATCACACGGTGTGCCTGCTCAGGCTTGGCCACCATCCTTACTTTACCTTGGGCTGACCACGGTCATCAAGAGAAGGTTTCCTGGTGCTGGGCACAGAGTGTGCTAATGAGACCATTCACAAATACCCTCTAGCATTTTGTATATATCTTGATTTTTAAACCAAGTCATTCTACAGAGCATTCAGTTTTGGCTGTGGTTCAAAGAGAAAAACTAACGAAGGATATAAACCACATTCCAGGCTGCTGTTTCCTATCCATTTACAGGCTATACTTTTACTGTATTTCTTCATACTTGAAACTCATTCCACTGTTTTAATATCAGGGTACAGACTTATAAGGGTGCATGTTCTTCAAAGGTGCAAAATTACTCTCATTCCGTTTGCTCATACTGCTACATAATGCTCTGTTTTGGTGCTTTGGGTTCATCAGGTCAAAGAAGCAGTGTGGAAATTCATTGCCTGGAACACAATCTTACAAGAATGTTGGCAGATGGTTTGATGTTAAATATTGCTTGTGCTCTTTTCTTTGTACACAAGATTAAGAGTTACCACACTGGTCTGTCAGGTTCACCTGGGTATCCTTCCTCACAGAGTACATACGTCCTGTGCTCTCCCCAAGTGTGGGTGCAGGGCAGCTCTCTGAAAGTAGAGACCTTCCTACGTAACCGGTCATTTAGCCCTCAAAGAAAAACGGCCTCAGCCTCGCGTGTAGTCAGGAACAGAATGGGGAGGGCTGCCTCACTCTACGGGCCATCCCTCCTCCATTCCATACAGAAAGCCCTCCTGAGGCCAAAACAACAGAAGGAAAGAAAGCTTATCTGTAAAGTTATCATTGTGGTAGGCCCTCAGCTGAATGGTCTTGCTTCCTTCCCTGTAGGTAGATGAAAATACAGGTCAGTTGATCTACACTCTTCTCACCTGAAGAAGGAAATAGAACAGTTGGTGTTTGTGAATGTAAAACATGTAATCCAATGGCCACAAAAATGTATATTAAATACCCCATCACTAGCAGTCTGTTTTTAAAAGTAGCTTAAGTAAGGGATGCCAAGTGGCCTAGGTTTTCTGAGGTCAGAGGTAGTAGCCATCCTAGCGTGCGCCTTACTCTGAGATGCACTTGGAGAGGGAGAAGTACCGATAGTGACTGCTGCAATGGCAAAGGTATCATGTCAGAAAAGTCAGAGGGTTACAGATCAATGATCCTTTGGAAACTGGATGTCTTACTGGGTGCTAGAATGCAAATTTAGGTATTTATTGTCAAATAATGGAATTTAATATTTTTTGAGAATTGGTGTTGAAATGTTGCTGTCCAGTTCATTGTTTTCACTTATGCACAAGCTAAATTGAAGCAAAAAGAGAAAATGGTTTGTGTATTTGTCATGCCTTTTGTATTTCTTACAATAAAAATATTGGTAGCAAATAAAAGTAATAAAAACAGCAATTTTAAACTGCTTTCTTGGAGATGAATAGTCATCCTAGCTGTTTTTCTTTTTACTTTAATGTAAAATGAATATAATTGCAGCGAGTACAGTAACATATAATAACATAGCAAGTTTTAGCAGAATATATTTTAAACTTTTGTTTTAAGAGACTCCTTTTCAGGCTTCAGATGTTTTTAAAAAGTAAATAGCAGCTCGTTGAGCTTAGAGCTTCAGTAACAGATATTTAGTAAGCTCTTATGAGTTGACTGTGCTAAACACTTAAGACCCAAAAATGAGTAAAGCATGGACAGTCCTTTCCAAAGCTTATAGACTGAGCCTGTGGAAAAGATTTGTGTAACCAATTGCTGATAACCTGGAGCTGAGCAAAGATTTCACATCGGAAATGATGACCGAGTGGACTCAAAAACTAAAGTCAATGTTTGCCAGTCATGCAAGGAAAAATACTTTGTGCGTGCAGAAGCATGCAATTCTGAAAGAGTCGGCAGGAAGTTTGGTGAGTCTGCACCTGGAGCAGTGGCTTTAAAACATCTGGATCATAACCTATAGAAAGAAATGTAATCTAACAGCATGATGTGGTACACATACACAAATGGACACACATGTACATATATCAGAAACTTATATTTCACAGAACAATGCTATGTGCCCCACACATGTTCTCTTCTAGTTTATTATCCTCCACTTTGAAATACCATTGGTAACCCACTAAATTGATTTCACAACCCCACTAATAAGTCATGACTTAATGTTTGAAAACAATAAGAGGGATGGGATGTGAAGGAGTCAGGAGGTAACATAATGAAGAGCTTAATATGCCATACAAAGGAGTTTGGAAATACTGAGGATTTTAAAGAGAGAGATGATTTCTTTTAATGGTTCCCCATTTTTGCTCGGCCACTTACGTAGCAGATGCAGAGCAATAGACCGAGCAGGTCCCGAGATGTTCCACAACAAACCAAAAGTGGGACCGTAGTTGCTGTCTGATACGTGTGTCCCCTTCTTTGCGTACAGTAGCAGGTATTTTTAAATTTGTCCCCCAGAATTTCCTGAGAGCTCTCTTTAGGATTTGCCTTAATTTTTTTTGAATGGGCCCTAAATTGAATCTAAATTTGAAAAAAACCTACATAACATTTTGAGGAGGAATAATACAGGGAGTCAAGAATTTGATCTTTATTAAGAAATTGAAAATGTGTAATTTATTAAAAGGCCAGTCATAGTAAAACACGTTTACAAACCATGGGCATCTATAACCAGGTTTGACTGGATCATTTTCTTCAAAGCAGCATAGAAAAAGATTCATTTAGTTACCTCTAGTTATCTCTGCCCTACTCACTTAGAACTTCATTCCATTAAGAGCTCAATAGGCCTTTGCCACTGATTTTGCCCTTTGCAGTATTAGCCCGATTTATACCATGTTTGGACAAGAACTCCTCATGGTGGGATGGGCCCCAGGAGGCCATATTTGTTCTGCAAATGCCATTTTCCTAAACAACAGAGCAATCAGAGATCCCATGGGATGTGGGACCAAGAGACCGGCTGTGTATCAATGTGTTACACATCTGGTACTGCTACCTATAAATTCAGGGTTAAAGGTGGCCACATTTCTCTTCATGTGCACAGAAGATCGTGGGGAGCCAATCTGTGGAGGGAGGAAATGTGCAGAGATTGAATCCAGACAACCTCCTGGTTCCTGTTCCCTGGGCTCTGAAACGTCCCTAATCCTTATTATGTAGTCTGCCTCCAGCTTTTTTTTATTATTATAATTTATGTAAAAAAATATTACCGAAACCCCACCATATAGATAAAATCACTGCTAACATTTTGATAATTTCTAAATACTTAGTTTTACATAGATACATGCAAGATATACGAATATACTTTTACACCATGGAGATGGGCTGTACACCCCACGCAATAAGTTCTGCTTTGGTGATTATTTGTTTGTTACTTTACATAACGGCCTGGGTAACTTGTCATTTTAAAAAAATTATGTAGCTCAAGTAAATTTCTATTGATTATAGCAAAAGACTTCTTACAACTTCCTCCTCCTCTCTTTCAACACGCAGCTTGGGGCCCCTGCTCTGCATTGTAATTTCAAGCTATTGAAAAGCTAAATGGCAAGGTTGTGTCATTATTTAAGTGTGGATAAGAACAAAACTAGCAACACCTGAAACTAATACAATATTGAATATCAACTAATTTTTTTTTTAATTAAAGAACAAAAATAGTAGAGCCTATGCTTTTCAGATTGGGGTTCCCAGAAACCTGGGGTCTACAAGGGAGAATACAAAGCTAAATAAACAAGGTCTACCTTCCTTGACATCAATTTTACTTAAAAGAGAAAAATGTTTTTTATCAAAGAAAGATGCTATTTTTAAAATACATGAAAAGATGTGGAATAGAATGCAAAATTCAAATTTTTTAAATAATATAGGCAACTTCAAAGACATTTTATGATTTTAATAAGACTATAGCACCAGGTCCACCTTGATACAATTCACTCTCCTGTGGAAAATTCTGAGAAGCACTATATCAGCCAAGAGGAGACATTAGCACTTGGAATGGGGCTCATTGTTCTGAATGCTGTACTTCTTGTGGTCTCCAGGATTCCTCAATGGAAAATGACACACGTTCTGACAGTGTATTCAGAAAATTGGAAAATAAAGTCAAATTTATTCATATTCACTGAACAGCTACTACTGGCCTCAACTTTCAAAGAACATCTGATAGGCAGAAGTGTCAAGAGGCACTGGTTCAACAGTGATGATTGATGATAATAGACCATTATTAGGTTTCATTGTGATACAGTACAGCAAAAATGCCATGCTCAAGAGAAGAAGGGAAGCAATTGGCATTCTGTGAATCCTACCAGTGCCAGGCATTCTCAGACATGCCATACAAACTATCTTATTTCATCAAGTTTTATCTTCAGATGAAAATTAAATGCTGTGGTCAGTTCCAAACAATTCTGGAATAAGATTGCATATAACACCAAAGCAGGAAATATGACTGCATGCGCTAGGGTCTAGAGATGTCTGGAACAGAGTAGAAGTTTGATTTGTGCTGAAAGAATGAGAGAGTGAGTTTGCAGTGGCCAAACAACTTATATGTAACTGTCAAAATGATTACATGCTCACCAAAAAATACATAAAGAATACAAAAACTACGAAGAAAAATGTTATTGAAATCCCACCATGTAATTACTGCTAACATCTTGATAGTTTCTAAATACCTAGCTTTACATAGATACATGCAAGATACATGAATATACTTTTACACCATGGAGATGGACTGTACACTCCACGCAATAAATTCTGCTTTGGGGATTATTTGTTACTTTAATAATATCACGGGTAACTTGACATTTTAATAAATACAAATCTACATCACCATCTGTTAAGGCTGTAAAGCATGTCATTGTATAAATGTACTATAATTTACTTAGTCTATCCTCTATTGATAGATATTTCTCCCTATCCTACTCCCAGTTTTCACTATATGAAAAAATGCTTCCATGAGCGGTACTGTGTATGCATCTATTTTCATGTGTCGGCAGTTTGATTCAAGTCATCTGGTCACTGAAAACTCATCATTCAACCACAAGTCAAAGAATGCCTGGGGCCACCAGAGGCCAAAAGAAGCAAGGGGTAGTTCTTCCCCAGAACCTTGATGGGAATTGTGGCTCTATTTGACACCTTGATCTTGGATTTCTAGTATTCAAAACTAGGAAAGAATAAATTTCTATTGCTTTGAGTTACCCAGTCTGTGGCCCTGGCAAAATAATACATTAATTAAATGGGGGAAAGGACAATCTTTTCCACAAATAGTTCTGGAGGAATTAGATATTCATATGGGGAGGGGGAAAATGAACATTTTTCTCTCATCTCACATCATAAGAAGAAAACATAAGACGAAATCTTTGTAACTTTGAGTTAGAATAAAATTCCTTAGATGAGACACAGATATAAAATAGCGGTCAATGGCACTTAATCAAAATTTAAAACTTTGGCCATTTGAAAGACATTCTTAGGAAAGTGAAAAGGTAAACCACAGATTGGAAAGATCACAAAACATATTCTGGCAAAGGATTGGTATTCAGACAAATAGTCCACTCTTTTTAAATGGGTAAAAAATTTGAAATGACATTTCACTAAAGAAGATAAAAAAAGAAAATGAGAACCTGGAAAGATGAACAACTGTATTAGCCATTAGGGAAATGTAAATTAAAACCACAATGAGATATCACTACACATCTACTAGAATGGCTAAAAGTTTTAAATTTGACAACATCAAGTTTTAGTAACCATGTGGAACAACTGAAACTCTCACCATTAATCTCACTACTGCAAAATGATACAGCCACTTTGCAAAGAATTGGGAAGTTAAACATGTACTTAAAATTTAATTCAATGTAAATATATTCTAGATATTTACTCGAAAGAAACAAAAATGTGCACACAAACACATACATGAATGTTCAGAGTAGCTTTATTTCATAATAGGCAAAAACTGGAAACAATCCAAATGTCTATCAAAAGGTCAATGAATAAGCAAATTATGATTTATAAATACAATGGACTACTTACTAAGCAATTAATAGGAACAACTTTTGATACGTACATGAGTAAATCTCAAAAAGATTATAAGTGAAAGAAGTCGACACAAAAGGCTACCTCCCGTTCGATTCCATTTATATGAAATTCTAGGAAAAGCAAAACCATAGTCACAGAAAACGGATCAGTGGTTTCCAGGGGCTGGGGGACAAGGAGAGGGATTAACTGCAAAGAGACACAAAGGAACTTTTTAGAGAAATGAAAATGTTCTATATCTTAATTGTATTGATGGTTACGTGATTGTATACATTTGTCAAAACTCATCAAACTGTACATTTTTAACTGGTAAATTTTATTATATGTAAAATATACTTCATTAGAGCTGTGGGTTATTTTTTTTTTTTTTAATTAAAGGCATTCTGTTTCAATGCTAACAAAAACCCATCTTGAAACGGTTGACCAAAAACTTTTACAGCTTCTGAGTCACCTCAATAGGGATGAAACAAGAGGAAAATTATAGTGAAACTATAACGTGTTGATTCAGTTGCAGCTCTCATGAATATCAGGAATTTTCCTCTGAGTCATTTTACTTGGTAACTTCCACTGCCCTTTGTCCATTGATAGTACTGATTAAAGTGAATGGCTACTTGGTTTTCAAGATTCAAATTGTTTTTTAAAAAGTCTCTTTGTATCTTTTATAGTGAGAAATATACTCATCAAGGGCATAAGATAATCATGTATACTGTCATTGTTTCTTTTCTATGTAGGCAAAATTACATCCAGAGGTTACATGGTGAGGGTGGAATCAGAGAAAGGGGAGTTGATTACCTGAGAAATCTTTAATAAAATAAATCAGAAAAGAAGGGAATACAGTGAAAAATAAAAATTCCTATGCTCCCCCAACCCACTAATACTATTATGAAGTGACCACTGTTAATGGTTTATTATGTAAACTTTTCAAAAATTTTTATATTCAGGCATATATACACAAACACACATATAAGTTGAGCCATATGAAATTGTCATTCTTATAGGTTAGAAATTGTTAAATATCAGTTCAACCAATGTATCCTCCTGTTAATGCACATGCTCTCTCACATTCTATATACTAGTCTATAATTCTTTCTCTTAATAGTATATAGTGGCCATTTTTCCACATCAACAAATATAGCTGTACATCACTTCCTAAATGCCTTGGTAATTTGCCATTTCATGGTTATACATTACTTTATTTAACCAGTTCCCTTGTGATAGATAGTTAACTTGTTTTCTGTCTTTTACTCTCTTGGTTAATATAGTTGGATGATCAGTGAAAACACTATGCTTCCATCTCCAGTCTAGGGGTATGCGCATCCAGAGAACAGCCATTTGGGTTGTGGATTGGGTTTCTGTGTCTCTATTGTTGAAAATTTTAAATACTTACACAACAATAATGAAAAATATGTGAAATTCAACTATAGTATTAAATTTAGGTACAAATCCAAGTTCTCCTAAGCATATTTAATATTAAAGATGACATCGAGTTAAAATTTTTTAATGCTCTTCAAGTTGAAAATCCCTCCCCCAGTGAATTATTGTTATTATTATTGCTGTCACTATTTAAAGCTTTGCCTTTTATCAATGATCATGTTACTTGCTTGTTCAAAAAGCTTTGCCTGCAGAATAAAATAAAATTTCTTCCCTTGACCTTCAAGGCCCTCAGCCACCAGCTCCAATATACTTTTACAGCCTTGCTTTCCCGCTACCACATGTGGTTTTATGCTGCCACATCTGACTGCATCGCCTTTCCTTTTACTCAGGCTGTTCTCTATTCTGAATGTCCTTCCATCTCAGCTCCTCTGTAGGAAGTCAGCCCACCTTTATAGTTCACCTGTAATGCCACTTCTCAATTCTCCTTCACTCCTCCAAAGGTAGTGTGATGTATGGAAAGCACATGCTTTTAAGTTTGTCACACCTGTGTTTGAATCTCCAGCTTCTCCACTTTCTAGCTATGGGAACTGGGGCAAATTACTTAGCTTCTCTTAGCCTCAGTTTTCTTCATCTGAAAAATGGAATGTAATCACTGGGTTATGCCTAGGACATTTGGAAAGGCATGTATGTCCACAGCTAGAAGGCAATTGTGTTCACACGTGTATAGAGCATGTGTAGAGACAGCATTTCTTTAGTCATCTTGTTGAGTCATTATTATGAATTATATCCTGAGAAGGCTAGGCCTGATCCAGTCCTTATGGAGTTCACTCAGATGAGTAGCATTCTTCTTCATTATCTCTACGTGCTCCTGGTCATTTTCCTGTTTCTCTGTCCTCCCCTGGGATCCATGCTCCATCTGGGAGGAGCTATGTACATTTCCAGAGGGGAGACATCTAAAGAAAACACAAATCCTTCTGTTGACTTATAGCATTGTTATATATTTTTTAAATCTCTGTATTCTGTATAATCAGCCAAAGGAAGTGAAAGGTAAGAAAGAGCTCAAGAGGAAAAACACTATATTCTCCTACAGATCTTATAAAGCTTACACTGAAGTGTTGAAAATAATATCTATAAAGTGCCTGGAATATTTAAAACACTATAACTGAGCCATGAAAAAAATCACAGATTCTCTTGTTGTGCACACAGAGAAGTTTATCTTTGGTTAGAGAGTTCCTCAGCTTAAGACATGGGAGAAGACAAGAAATGAAGAACTGGGGAGGTCTAATTTACAAAGAAAAGCAAAGTGGGTTACTCTGGAGAATGAATGTTTAGTATGGAGTAGAACCACTAACAGCTGCATTTGAGAGAATTTGGGAAAGTTTTAAGAGAGAAAATGCGAGTTGGGAACATCTGTTGTGCAATGCACTATGAGAAATGGAGGGAGGGAGACAAATTGGGAAAGATGATTTTAAGGAGTTTTCTTGTATGTAGTTAAGTGCGATCCCATTTTGCCATTTTCCAAGATTTCAGAAAAGATCCAAATTACTTTTCAATTACTTTCTAATGACACTGTGCTGAGATGGGCCCAGAAGGGCCTAGCTTTATACAGGTCTATAAATACTTAGAAAATATAACTCCTTCTCTGGAGCCCCCATCACCTCTCTTGAAGTTTTTGTAGTGTGCTGACAATATTATGACATGCTGTGCAGTAAAGATAGCCCTGTGTATGTTTATCTTCCCTACTACGTTTTAAACAGTCCCCGTGAAGGTAAGGATTGTGTCTTAATCATCTTTGTGTCCTGCCCAGATCCAGCTTCCAGTCACCTAGCTAGTGAATTGCACAAAGTAGATGGTCAAAAATTAGTGTGAAACGAATGCGTGAGTGATGGGGTGAATGGAATTGAACTTAAAGGGCGGTTTCATTAACACCATCTATAACAGTACTGTCTTCTCCCTCACCACCTGATGGACTCTGAGGGACCGCATCTGTCCTGGTCACCACTTTATCCCCAACACTTCCACACGAGCGTTGGGATAATTTTTATACTCCAAGAATGAATATTTCAGCACATCAGAAATGAAAGAGAGCAAAGCAATCCAAAGCCGAATGGAGATGCGCTGCCTTGGCGAGCAGTGTCCGCCTGCCCCTGGGTAAAGGACTGGAATTTCCCAGGCGACTCCTGGGAACCGCGGATGATCGCCGGCGCCGACCTCTCCTCCGCGGCGATAGGTGGCGCTGTGGCCAGACTCGGCCTCCCGATCCCTGCGGCGCCGCTCTTTGGGCGGAGTGGGGGAGTTGAGACAAGGACCTGTGCGGGCCCGCTTCGGCCGCTCCGCTGGCCTGGTCTCCTTCGGTGTCTGACTGTGCGTTCAGTCCAGCACCATGGGGAAGCGGGACAATCGGGTGGTGAGTACCCTACGGGGAAAACAATGGGGCGACGCAGGGCCGGGCGGCAGGAGAGTGGGACCCCTAGCTCTTCCCGGCCAGGCCTGAGGGTCAGCGGCGGCACCGAGACCTCCAGCGGGGAGACTCAGGTCTCTCCCACCTCCGCACCCTCCCCAACGCCGGCTCCTGGCGCGCGTGCGCCGCGCACGCTGTTGGCGCCTTCGGGGGCGCCCCCCACTCTCTCAAGATGTCCTCTTTCCTCTCCCACCCCAGCCTCGCCGCGTCTTTTGGCAGTGCTCCCTGGCTCCCTTCCTTCCTTCCCTCCGGCCAGCAGTGCCCTTTTTCTAGAGCAACAAGAACTTGGGGAGACCCATCCCCTCTAGCACATTAGCCCAAAGTCTGAGGCCCGTGGAGGCGCCGGGGTTCGCTCCCTCCTTGGGGTCTCGCACCCTCTCGTGCGCACCCAGGTGAGATGGAAGCCTGGAGTCGTTGGACGTGGTCCCTGCGCCCGGGGGCCTGCAGCGTACCCTGTTCTAGCGGAGACGTGCTCACGTTTTAGAACCAGGGTGGAAGCATTTAGTTTCGTGTCCCCAGCGCCCAGCACTGCCTGGCATGTGGTACGCCCTGTGAAGAAATGAATGGCGTGGAAGTAGTTGACTTGGAGTTAGGAGCATACTGGAATGTCAGTTTGGGTCCCTTGAGAGTTGGGTGACCTAAGACAAGTTGTTTTTCTTTAGTCTCAGTTTCTCTATCTGTAAAAGGAGATCAGTGTTATCATCAACCTAGTTAAGACCACAAAAGGCACGATGGCCAGGCCAGTGTTTGGCATGAAAGTTATTCTAGTAAATGAGGTATAAGCAATATATAAATAAACGGTAGAGTAAGAAATATCTTATAAAGATTTGAGGTTCTGAGGACATTCAAAAGAAAAGGTTCTTTTTACTGGTGGAGATGGAAGGAAGGCATTCTAGATGGCTCCTAGGTTGATTTGGAAAACCCAGGTTATGCATCAGATTGGATGGGTGCTAAACAAGGGATTAGCAATAAACTTGGGCAGCCTTACAGTTCCTGGGCTTGTCTATGACAGTTTTAACCCCTGCGCAGCAAAATGGAAAAAAAACAAACAAAACCATTTGACGCTAATGTACTAAATTGAATGAACTAGCATTTTCAGCGATTATTTCCTTTGTGGGTTTTTGGGAGAGTGGAGTGGGGAGTGTTAAATGAGCTTTATTTGTATGAAATGATGACATTTCCCCTCTTCAAAACGTTTGTTTTAATTTAATTTTATGTAGTTTTCACAAATCAAAGATGTCTAGGAATCACACTAGTGAACCTTGATTACAAAACTGAGGCATGTTCTTTGCTGCTACTTCCCTGGCTGTAGGTCAGAGCTCGTTGTGGTAGCCTGATTCTCATAGAGTTTGAAATGTTCTGCTGGAGCGTCCTTAGGCTTGAAGTGTTAAGTGTTTTGGCTTAATGTGCTTGGGCCTTGAATGTTTAGAAATTACCAGACCTCCCGTGCAGTTTCATCAGGGGCTCAAGATGTTTTGTTTTGTTTTTTGGGGGGAGTACTTGTTTATATATCCCTTTAAAGCATTTGAAAAACTTTTCAAATGAGCTTCATTTACTCCAGAGCATTTTGATAATAACTCTGGGCTCTGCTTATTACTTGGTATGCTGTCTTGGCACAGTGTTCTGGTGACATTTTGTTTACACTTCAAAGGTTGTGGGAATGAAAACATGAAATTAAGATGTAGAAGACACAAATTGTCAAATTCAGTCTCTTCCTTGCATGAACGAGGCGATGGAACTATTTAAACTGGGACCAAAACTTGGGTCATCTGATACTAAGCTCAGTACATTGTAACTCTTGATTTTAGATACCAAAATGAATGTTTGCCTCTGAAAATACTGGCTTTTTTTTTTTTCTTACACTGATGATTAAATTACAGTTTTAAAGATGATAGTTGCTTTTTAAATATCCCTTAAATTTCAGTTTGAAAGGTTTTTTTAAAAATCGACTTTATATTTTCGAGCAGTTTTAGGTTCACAGCAAAATTGAGGAGAAAGTAGAGTTCCCATATATTCCCTACCATCACATGTATACAGCCTCTGCCACTGTGAACATCATTCACCAGTGTTCCATTTGTCACTGTTGATGAACTGACATTAACATATCCTTTTCACCCAAAGTTGATAGTTTACGTTATGGTTCACGTTGGTATTGTGCATTCTTAAACAGGTTTGTTTGTTTTTTTAATTAAACATTTTCATTCTCAAGATTTGTAAAGAGCCGTTAAATTCATATAGTCATTCTTTGTGCCCATTGTTTTCCAAAACTTTCTCGCATGTTTTCTGATATTTGTGCCCTCTAGGCAGATGTATCCTTTAGATAAAAATAGGTAATCAGAGTAACAAATGAGTTCTGCACACTGTCCTTAACAGTTTTACCACATTGCTCTTTTCAGTTTGCCCACTTGCATATTTCTTTGAGCCCAGTTTACCAACCTGAGTTTCAAAAACATTGTTTTCTATCACCTAAACTCATGCAGCACTTTGGAGCTGCATGACAATAACAGACAATTCTAGTTATATGAACATGAGCATTTGATTTGAGGGCACAGGATTTAAAGCAATTAAATGATAGCATGGTGTTTCAAGAAATTTCACCACTTCTTCATTTTAACTGATGCCTAACCACCCACCCCTTAGTGTTAGGAGCATTAATTTTCACACTGAAACATAATAAGTGAAAAAGTTTTACCTTTATAAAAGTTATTTTCTTTGTTTTAAAAACCTTTCTTTTGTATGTAGGAAAAAAAGAATTGTTGCTTAATGATTATAAGCACAAACTATCAAGTGTTTTGCAAGGAGCCTAGTACATAAGATGCACTTAATAAATATTGCTGTTATAACTGAAATAAATAATGGAGATATTTGGAGTTTACTTAAGCAGACTGAGGGCAGTGTTTATGTTCAGAAGCTTGAAAATTAAACCTTACTGCATACTCAATGATAGCCCATATACTTGTACCATAAATTGATTATAAGTAATAATCCTAGCCTGTGAATATACTACTTTTTTTTTTATTTTCCTCTGAAAAGTCAACAGTAAGATAGCTTGGTACGTACTTTGGGAAACCAGGTTCACAGTAGACATTAAGACATAAAAATGTTAATGCACTTTTTAACATAAATGCTAAAAAAATTGAAGACTGTAAAACATAGTAAATGTTATGTTATGGTTTTTAAAAATTAGAATGGAAAATTACCATTGCACTGTTTGCGAATTTTTACTTGAAGACAGTTCAACTCTTTGAATTGGAGTTGGCAGTGTTGTGATTGAGTTTCTCTAATTTTGTTTACCATTAATATCATGATAACGTTTGTAGTTTGTTTTGTTTTTATCTTTCTTTTATAAAGGTAATGAGTTATTTAAAAGTTCTTTCCTCCAGTATATGAAATGATGACAGTGGACATCTCCTTTTACATTTTGGTGTACACGCATCTAGGTTTTAAAAAATTTTTATAGCTATTTATTAATATGGTGTCTTATTTTTTGGCAACCTGATTTTGCTTTTCACTCAAGAAATCTTGGACATCTTTCCATATCAGTAATTATAGATCTCATTCTTTTTAATGGCTACTTAGTATTTTATTTGGGGGGTACACTTTAATACACTTAATGAATCTCCTTTTGATGGCGATTTGGGTATTTTCGTTTTTCCTTATTTTAGTAATTTAGTTTTGAACATCCTTGTATAGATTTGCATTCTTCAGGAATAAACAGTGTTTACAGTTTTAAACTTTAAAATATTTTACCATTAGGTACTGCTAAAATTGTGACATGATACCAAAGAAATGAGAAAGTGGTGGGTATTATGCTCCTGTTTTAAAATGACGAACTTAGCTTACACATTGTACTTGCTTTTACTTAGGATTGTCAGTGTCACTAGCTAGGCCACCAACTCCTCTATTGTGTCCTCCATTAGTTCTCATATTTCCACATGAACTGATTGAAATTCTCAGCAAAGGCCGTTGAATGAAATATTTGAGGGCATAACAGTTGGTATCAAAAATGTTATATGCCCTGTCTTTAACTTTGCATTTGATATCCACATCAGCCCTTATTCTATAACATATCTGACATTAGGAGCTCTAGCAGTCATTCCTGCCTATAAGAAAATATGTTAAAGGTTAAACTTTTTCATACAAAGTAATTAGGCAGTGTCCAATTGAATGGAAATAGTTCTCAGTGTATTGTTTATAGTGGTTTTATATTGTTTACTCTGCCAGAGAAACCTGAAAATATATAACTAGTATTTGTTATGGAGGTGGAAAATGTTAGTTATTTTTACAGATTTTGTTACGTAAAAGGCAACAAATACATTGTCTCCTTTCACTTCCTTTGGAATGTTAAGTATTAGATTTAAGGCCTTAAAATCAACCTTGAAAATAGTCGTTTTCAACCAAAATTCTTTTTATTTAAAAATAGAAGTTACAAATGTTTATTGACTTGAATTAAAATTGAAAAATGATAAAGATCAAGAGGTTGAGACTGAATTAAAGACAGATTTTATATCTGTAGCAAACTAAATTTTAATAAAACATCTCTTTACTAAACACTGTAATTAACAAACTTGCTTTATTTTGTCTCAGTGTTTTTGAAAAATGTATTTAAAAATGTGTCCTGCAGTGGTAACTGCAGTATACAGAGTGTAATTTAGTTTTTTGTAGTTTTTTTTATTGTGAAAAATATACATAACATGAAATTCATTGTTCAGTACATTCATTAAGTACATTCACAGTGTTGTGCAACTATTACCACGATCCATTTCCAGAACATTTTGCCATCCCAAACAAGAAGCTCCGTACCCATTAAACAATAATTCCCAGCCTCCTCTCCCTACCCTCCTCCTTCACCCCAGCCCCTGGTTACCTCTATTTACTTTCTGTCTCTATGAATTTGTTTGTTCTAGCTAGCTTATATAATTGAAATCATATGATATTTCTCCTTTTGTTTCTGGCTTATTTCACTTAGCATGTTTCTAAGGTTTATTCATGTTGTAACATGTACCAATTTCATTTCTTTCTAATATGCCATTGTATGTATATACCATATGTATTTATTCATTCTTCCTTGGATGGATTTTTGGGTTGTTTCAGCCTTTTGGATACTGTGAATAATGCTGCTGTGAACATGGTATACAAGTATCTATTCAAGTCCCTGCTTTCAATTCTTTTTCAGTTCCATTTAGAGATGGAATTGCTGGATCATATGGTAATTCTATATTTAACTTTCTGAGGAACCACCAAACTTTTCCACAACAGCTGCACCATTTTATATTCCCACCACCAATTTGTAACGGTTCCATTTTCTCCGCATCCTTGACCACACTTGTTACTTTCTGTGTTTTTGATAATAGTCATCCTAATGGGTGTGAGGTGGATCTCACTGTTTTGATTTGCATGTTCCTAGTTATTAGTGATGTTGAACATCTTTCATGTGCTTATTAGACATTTGTATATCTTTTTGGGAGAAATGTCTGTTCGAGTCCTTTGTGCATTTTTGAAGTGAGTTGTTTGGGGTTTTTGTTATTGAGTTGTAAGATTTCTTTATGCATTCTGGATATTAATCCCTTAGATATATGATTTGCAAATATTTCATCCCATTCTGTAGATTGTGTTTTCATTCTTTTGACAGTGCCCATTGATACACAAACATTTTTAATTTTGATGAAGTCCTGGTTATCTATTTTTTCTGTGCATAATTTAATTTTTGATGTTCACAATTTGTGAATAAAATTGCCATCAGTGTGGCACAATACTTCCTGAGATAGAAGACAGAGTAGAATAAGCAATGAATTTAGAGTTATATCTTCTTTACCTTTTTTTTGGAACTGAGTTTCATTTGCTGGTGAGCAGTGTTATCATCCTCACAGGGTTATTGGGCTTTAGAAGATAGCATTATAAAGCCATTTTACAGTAAGAGATAGCATTTTCATCAAATCTCTGGTAAAAACACATTTTCTATGAAATCACGATATTACTCATCTTCTATACTTGTAAGGCTTAATAGAGCACTAAATTTATTTTTTATAATGAAAAATTGGTTAGCCAGATTGTTCCTGCTTGGTTAGACATCCTTTTATTTATTTATTTTTTTAAAATTGCTTTATGAGTAAGTGAGCTTTTGCATTTTTAATGGTTATTTTAATGGAGTAAATTTTATTCTTTCCTCAAGGCCTACATGAATCCAATAGCAATGGCCAGATCGAGGGGTCCAATCCAGTCTTCAGGGCCAACCATCCAAGACTATCTGAATCGACCAAGGCCTACCTGGTATTTGTAAAATAATTTATCTATTTATAAAATTTTCATAAACTTTTTAAAGGTTACTGTTACAGCTTTTATTGATTGCCAAGCAATTGCCAGATATGTAATTTTTGAAGTAACATTTGATATGTGCTTTCTTTTGAGTGTATGAAACACATGCATGAGTATAAAGCAAACATTTGAGAACCCAGTACTCAGAATAGCTAAAGCACTACCAGATAACCTTTTCACACTAATCTCTTCTCTATCCCCTAAAAAAGACCTTAAGCTTGCATTTATCCTAGCCTATTTAAAATGGTAAGTTTGAGTAATCTCATCCTTCATCGAGATGTAACTAGGTGTTATGAAGGATAATTTTAGGCCTTGGTTCTAGTTTTATTTGCCGGCTTTTCAGTGAGAATTTCCCATGGTAAAAATTTTACTTTAAATTGTTGGGTTTTGCCCTCAGAGAGTAGCTCTGACCTTTTGTAAATAAAGTTCATAGCCTTATTATTTTTTAGAATGTCCTCTTATGAAATATCATATTCCCGAGGTAACATGACAGGCTTCAGAGTAGTTATCTTGAGAATCCTTCTAAATGCCTCTGAAAGCTGGGCAACTGTAATTCAAAGTTGTCCTTGCATATAACTGGGAATCCTTCCTTTGAGTTAAATAGGAAGTAAGCCTTGTCATCCTCTTACAGTGTTCATGAGTGCTGTCAACTGTTGCAGCATACCAGAAAATAAATTATCCCCAAACAAAGTATATTTTGTCTTTAAAATTGGGGAGAAGGAATGAACTTTAAAGGGGATGTGTGCAAGCAAGTATATTACATGTGTATCAGAGGTCCCCAAGACAACTCTCAGGTTGAGTAATTCACTAGAAGGACTCAGTTGCACTCGTGGGTAAGATTTATTACAGTGAAAGGATACCAGCCACAGTCAGCAGAGGGAAAATGCGCATAGCATAAAGTCCAAGGGAGACTGAGTGTAGGCTTCCAAGGCTTCCTCTCCTATGCAGTCACACAGGACAAGTTTCATTCTCTTAGCACAAGTTGTGATACTTCATGTGAGATGTCACCAACTGGGGGAGTTCTTAGGGAGTCTTTGTGCCCAGAGTTTTTACTGGGGACTGATCAGCCTCTGCCTGTTAGGTGCCCAAATTGTAGACTCCAGAAGGAATGCAGGTGTTCAGCCCAAACTATAGAGTTTATACAACCACTTAGGTCAGTGAGTACCTCTTAACGGGGAATGGTAAGGACCTGCCTAAAATCCAAGTTCCCAGACACAGCCAGGGCCATTCTTTGAATAATCAGTCACGTGTGCTGTGTAAACTCTTTTCTGCACAACATGTGTGAAATACGTTATAAGATGGGTGATTTAGTAACAGAATATAGTAGTTCAGTCAAATAGACTTTGGCTCACCCTAACAGTGAAACTACTAAAGTTTTGTAACGTTAGGCAGATTTCTTTTCCCCAGACTTCAGCTTTTATCTGTAAAAGAATACTACCTTTTCTTACAGGATTGTTGTGAGGATTAAAGGAAAATATATTTAAGTGCCTGTAGTATGTAAATGCTCAAATGTTTTGTGTATTAGCTTTTATAACCCATATTTAAGAAAGGGGTGATTGATGTTATTTGATAGGCTTTATTGTGATAATTGATTTACAAGGATGTGAACACAAATTTGAAATGTATGAACACTGGAATGGAGGCTTACTAGGGGATTAAGAAAAATGTGTTTATGAAATTTCGTTGTATTGTTTGTAAGCATTCATCTCTAATTCGAATTGCTTGAAAATGTATTTTTACATTCTATTTTTTTAAGGGAAGAAGTGAAAGAACAACTAGAAAAGAAAAAGAAAGGCTCCAAGGCATTGGCTGAATTTGAAGAAAAAATGAATGAGGTTTGCAAATAGTACCTTTCAAAGAAATAGACCAATCTTTTTTGTTATAATAAAAGAATGAAATAATTTTTTAATAAACCAAGGGTTTAGACATAGCTCTGTAGGTTAAGGGGCTCTGTATTTTATAGGTGTTCTTGTTTTATTGAATACAGATTTGTTTGTAAATATATGATTTTAAAAAACAGAGAAAACCATCTTATAGTAATTTAAATCATCTTAAAGTTTTCTAAATGATAGGTTTTTTCCCCTTCTCTCCCCTATCCCCATGCCCCCATTTTACCCTGGGATTTCCATGGTGATACTTGCTAGTTTTGATTTCCAAAAATGTATGTAGTATTTCAGCCACAGTATAGATTAATTCAGCTTCTGTTTGTAAAACCATCTTTGTTGGAAAGAAAAAAGTCCTCAGCTTCAGTAATGATACCTTCTCTCAATATAGAGTGGAGAACTCCCACCCCTTAATATTCTCTTTGAAAAGCGCTCATACAGGCTCCTTCGGTGATAGGGTAGAAAATTCTAGCGCTTAGGATATCTTTTTTAATTAGAGGATGGTAGTTGAGAGCTAATAGAGGATAGAGGATAGGAAACAGTGGTTGTCTTAGATGTATCAGAAGGGGATAGATAGCCCATGATGGTCTTTATAACTTTTTTGCAGAACTGGAAGAAAGAATTAGAAAAACATAGGGAGAAATTACTAAGTGGAAGTGAGAGCTCATCCAAGAAAAGACAGGTAATACCATTTTTACTTTATTGCTACCCTTGTAGTTGGGTTTTCATAATAATGCTGTGTACTGCTACTAATAGATAAATTTGAAAACTCCTATCAACTTATTTGGATTTGCACTTTTATTTGTTTGCTTTTAGAGAAAGAAAAAAGAAAAGAAGAAATCTGGTAGGGTGAGCAAAAGTTTTCCATTTTTCCAAATGTTACAATTAAGAACCTACAAAAAAAGTAAGAATAATTTATACAACCTGTGTGCTAACCCTAGGTGAGTCAAAGAGCCTGGAGATCCTATGGTAGTTATAGGTGGTTTTGTTCTATTTTTGATATAAAAGATAGGTACCAACCTCATTATAACCTAGTAACTCCTCTCTTGCTTTTAAAGAAGGAAAATTGACTACCATGGCTACATGTATCATTATTTTGTTGAGCCTTTTTTTTTTTTGGTGAGGAAATATGACATTTGACATTTTAGTATTTAAGGTATGAATATGGCATCTGTTCTCAGATATTAGATTGATTTCATTAAGTATTTGAGAGACTTGGTGAAAAAAAATTCCTGCATCTCACAAGCTTTAATTGTTTTGTGCTTGGTCAAGTATTCATCTTCTTCTTCATCAAGCTCTGATTCTTCCAGCAGTTCTTCAGATTCTGAAGATGAGGTAAGTTTTGCCTATAATGATTCATGAAATATCTGTAATTTCTTTAATTATAAAGGAAACATGTTATAAAATACCAGTTAAAGATGTTTACACTAGAGTTTGATTACTTATCTATAACTGAGAGCACTGACATGAATAATTAAATATTTACATATTGAGGGGGGGTGTGTATTGGATTTCTGAATTTGTCTTGTTCATTTAAAAATCAGAAAAAGAAATGGATTTGAAAATCAAAAATGCTCTTTGATTAGGTGCTAGAGATTACATGTGACTTAAATCACTTGACTTTTAATAAAACAGGAAATTGATATGTTACATTTTAAATATTAAGTAAAACATATTTACATGCTGGTCCTTTCACTAACTTTTCTTTATTGATAAATGTTTGATATTAATAAAATGCATCAGTTATACTTTAAAAACAAAGCAAATGTTTCCAAAAATGTTTTATATAGGATAAAAAACAAGGAAAAAGGAAAAAGAAAAAGAAGAACCGTTCACATAAATCTTCTGAAAGCTCCATGTCAGAAACTGAATCAGACAGTAAGGTAAAATTATTTAAATTAGCAACATTTTGGATAGCGAAGACACATAACTAAGTTTTTCTTGTAGGTCTTCCTATCTTAAATCGCTCTCAGTTTAGAAATGAGATATGGCATTTTTTGCCATGTGTGGGAAGATTTTTTTTCCCCAGCTTTACTAAAGTATAATAGACAATTAGTTGGTCATACTTACATTGTATAACTCAGTGAGTTGTTGTTTTTTGTTTTTTTTTTTTTCATTTTTAGTTGGCATACAATAATATATTAGTTTCAATTGTACAACATAGTGATTAGAGATCTATATAACTCACTAAGTGGTCACCCCACTAAATCAAGTAGTCCTCTTCCCCCTTGTTATTTTTTACAACATTGTTGACTATTTATGCCGTATTTTATATCTCCATGACTATTTCGTATTTATCTATTTGTACTTCTTAATCCCTTTGCCCTGTTTCACCATTCCCCCCAAACCTCCCTCCTGTCTAGTAGCCGTCAGAATATTCTCCGTAATTATGAATTTGTTTCCATTTTTGTTGTTGATTTTGTTCTTTAGATTCCACATTACGTGAAATCATGTGATATTTGTCTTTCTCTATCTGACTTCATTCAGCACAATACCCTCTAGGTTCACCAAGGCAATATCTTTTCCCTTCCCCTTTTAGTCTCTACTTGTCTTTTAATCTGAAGTGAGTCTCTTGTAAGCAGCATTTGTAGAGATCTTGTTTTCTTACCTATTCAGCTTCCCTATCTTTTGGTTGGAGCACTTAATTGTTTTCCATTTGAGGTAGTCATTGATAAATAGGTAGTTATTACCATTCTTTATTCATGTTTTTGAAACATTTTATTTCTTCTTAAAGAAGTCCCTCTAACAATTCTTGTAATACTGGCTTGGTGGTGATAAATTCCTTTAGCTTATTTTTGTCTGGAAAGATCTTTATCTGTCCTTCGAATCTAAATGATAGCTTTGCTGGATAAAGTAACCTTAGTTGTAGATCCTGAGTTTTCAACACTGAATATTTTGTGCTAAGCCCTTCTGTCCTGCAAAGTTTCTTTTAAGAAATCTGCCAGTGTTATGGGAGCTCCCTTGTGGATAACTAACCACTTTTTCCTTGCTGCTTTTAAGATTATCTCTTCGTATTTAACCTTTGGCATTTTAATTATGATGTGTTGCGGTGTGAGCCTTTTTGGGTTCATTTTTTGGGGACTCTCGGAGCTTCCTGGGGTTGTATGTCTATTTCCTTCACCAGATTAGGGAAGTTTTCCATCTTTATTTCTTCAAATATATATTCAGCTTCTTGTTCTCTCTCTTCAGGTACCCCTATGACACAGATGTTGTTACCCTTAATTGTGTCCCATAGGCTCCTTAAAGTATTATCCTCTATATCGGCATTTCGATCCTCTTCTTCCTCCACTCTGTTGATTCCCTCTATTATACTCTTCATCTGAGATAAAGTATTCTTCATTTCTAACTGGTTCCCTTCTATAATTTCTATTTCCATTTTTATGTTTATCTCTGTTAAAGTTCTCACTGAGTTCATCTACACTTCTCTTAATTTCCTCGATCATCTTTACAACCAGTATTTTGAACTCTGCATCTATTAGATTGACTCCTCTTTTCCAGTTTCTCTGTTCTGTTCTCTCATATGGTTTCTGCTTCTTTGTCTTCCCATTTTGGCTGCCTTTCTGTGTCTGTTTCTGTGTACTAAGCAAAGCTCCTAAATCTCCCGGTCTTATTAGTGAAGTAGGTGTCCAGTGGCACAGTCCTGAGAGGGATTCAGCTATAGGCCAAGTTTAGCCCCAGCCTGTGCACTTCCAGGGCCACCTGTTAAGATTCAGCAAGCAATCCACAGATGCTGTGCTTGTAGTTGCCTTAAGAAGCCACACCAGAAACCGAGGCCAGCAGCCTCCAGTGTGAGTCTTGGTGCTGCTCAGCAAGTGGCACAGGGCTCACCAAGGACACAAGTGAATGTGGCTTGGGTAGGGCTGTGGGTTGGGAGAGGCAGAGTTACAGGGAATCCTCTGGGCAGAACGACCTCTGTTATTCCAGCTATGGTGGCACTGAGTCCGCACACTGGGAAGGACAGGGGAGGGCTCAACAGAAGAACAGTGGATATCGCCAGCACTTCCTCCTGGGAAAAAGCCCTCCCTCCAGCTTTCACTCCAACAACTCAGTGTCCTCCTGTAAGTCTCTGGTGTCCCCTGAGCAGCTGACCTGGCACTAGTGCTCAGAGTGAGCAAGTCTGTTACCACGAAAGGCCACTCCAAGACACAGCCTCTTTAAGAGGGATCTGCCACTGCCCATTTCAGCTCCTATCGCCTCTGTCCTATTCAGCCACTCTGTCGGGGTTGATCGCATCTTCACCCCCTCCTACCTCTATCTGTTGCTGGGTGATTTCTTATTTTTCTTGCTAGTTGTAGGGGGCTTCTGTTCCTGTAGACCCTCAGGCTACTTTGCTTGCTGTTTGTTTGTGTTTCCTTCTCAACTTCGATGTGATTGCAAGAGGTGATGAGCAAAGTTTCTATCATCAAGGCCATTTTTCCCGGTCTCGAAATATAGAAGTTCTGCGCCATTTGATATCTTACCTATGGCATTCAATTGTTCTCTAAATACTTTCACATATATATCTCCATGTCTCAACATTTCCATGACAGCTTTATGATAAGGAATGGCAGGCATTATTTTTCTCATTTTCGTGAAGTCATAGTTCAGAGAAAAAACATCTTGCTTAAATTTATACAGCCAGTATTAGAATCGGAAGTTGAATCTTTATCTTCTACTCTCTGGTCCAGTGTCCTTTCTGCTGTACCTTAATCTGTTCTGTGCTATCTGGAATTGTCAGACACAATTTGCTCTCAAACAAGAGTGGTCATAAGGAATACATGCAGGTTGCAATAAAAATGTAGGTTCCTGGGCCTCATTTTCAGAGTCTGATTTTGTAAATCTGATTAGGCTCAAAAGTCTACATTTTTAACAAATGCCCTCTGTGATTCTGATACAGGGATGTCCATAGATCACAATAAACATTGTCCTAGGGTCCCAGAACAAAGCAGCTGTCTGGTTTTGTGGCAGATATCTACTCCCCTAGTGAGATTACTTCTGACAAAAGTGTCTAGGAAGTTTTCAGTAAATGTTGAGGGTTTTTTTGTCTTTTAAAACAGAAGAGCCAGTCTAATGATAGCTACTACATGTTATGCCCAGTTCTAAGCACTTGACATGTTAACTCAGTTCTCTCAACAACCCTGTGAAGTAGTTATTTGTTATGCGATCCTACCTTATGCATAAGAAAGGCTCAATGAAGTTAATAGCTGGAACTGAGGTATTCAAAAGTAGAATTCCTTGTATCCTCCTTATAAGGAGACCAGGGAAATCAGATTGGTAAATGTCAGAGCACAGTGTGAATAGAACTCCAGAGCACATGACCACCACAGGCAAATACAGACAATAGCATAAAGTCTTACTTTAAAATAGGCCATGTGGTTATTACAGACAATATCAGTCATTTTAGGTTTACATAGATTTGATATACAGAAGAGAAATGAATAAGTCTTATTTCTTTACAACCACAAGTATACACAACATATTTTTCCTACATTTAAAAAAAAAATGTGGTGTCGAAGTAAATTTCTCAGTCATAGAGCAATCACCCTTTGGTATTTTTGTCTTTATATTATAATGCTGTATCTTTTATGTGTAAAATTCATATGTGTATGTATATATTTGTTTAGGATAGTTTAAAAAGGAAAAAGAAGTCAAAGGATGCATCTGAGAAAGAGAAGGTAATCATAATTTTATGTTGCCTTAAGATAGTCTGTCATACAATACTTCAGTTACTTTAAGAAATTAACAATAATGTGTTCCCTTTTTTAACATGAGACTTATTTCTTTTGCTTTTATGACATTTCATGTTGATTTAAGAAAATTATTTATTGGATTCATTATTGAAGTATTCCTGCAGAGAGTTTGAATTTGTGTATTAAATTCAAATTAAAAATTAAAAATGGATTATATCAAATTCAAAATTCAAAATAATGGAGATTACACATTTCCTTTGTTTCCTCAAGTTATTTTAAAGGAGGCCCATTTAATTAAGAAGTATGGACTTCTGTTTAAAATTGAGTACCATAGATAAGTTTTGAAAAAGTTTTTACTATAAGTAGATGTTTTACCTTCACTTGGGACTTAACTATATAATTAATGCTAAATTAATCCCTACCCATGTTTCTGATTTATGTGTTAAAATCTTATTCTGATTATTAAAAATAAAAGCCGAAAGGAAGCAATTACTAATGAAAGAAAACTACAGACCAGCATCACTATATTTTACTTGGTCTTTCTATATCATTTTTTAAATTCACATAATAGGCTTTTATTAATCATCTTAAAATTAGCATTTGGTAGTATTTAGTATATGTGCTATGTTGTACAAAGACCACCTCACTCTAATTTTAACACTTTATCACCTTCTTAAAAACAACTTATACCCATTAAATAATCAGTTCCCATTCTCCCTTCTTCCCATCCCCAGGTAACCTCTAATCTTTCTATCTCTGGATTTGCATATTCTGGATATATCATATAAAAGCAATCATACAATATGTCACCTTTCGTACCTGGCTTCTTTTCACATAGTGTAATGTTTTCAAGATTCATCCAAGTTGTAGCAAGTATGTCAGTACTTCATTCTTTTTTATAGATAAGTAACGTTCCGTATATGTACATAACACAGTTTGTTCATCCATTGATGGACATTGGTTTTTTTCTACCTTTTGGCTAAGATGAATGATGCTACTGTAAACAAGTTTCCATATGGATATATGCTTTCATTTCTCTTGGGTATATACCTATATGTGATTTTCATATCAATTTTCAAATAAAAGGCCACTAAGACACTAAAAAGAGAAACCACCATTACCAAGTTGGATTAATTTCAAGAATTCAAAGATAAGAAATTTAGTAATATAATTTGCCATGTTAACTGGCCACATGAAATCATATGATTATTTTAATAGTTGCCAAAAGGATATGATGTAAGTCAACATTAATTCCTCATTTTCAAAACCATTATAGAATAAATGGTTACTTTTATGTCTTTTAAAAAATATATGTGTCATGTGGGATATAAAACAAAAAGCAACAAATAACAGAATGATGGTTACCAGAGGAGAGGGGAAGGATAAAGTGATCAAAGGAGGTCAAATATGATAATGGAAGGAGACTAGACTCTGATGACCACACATGAAGTATACAGATGTATTATCAGGTTGTACCCCTGAAATTTATATAATTTTAAATTTATGCTGTTAAACAATATTGCTCCAATAAATTTAGTTTTAAAAAACGTATGTGCAAAACTAAAACCTGGTGATATACAACATAAAATACTAAAACAACTGCATTGTGAATTTGAAGTATTTCAAAATAATATAAGGCACAGGGTAATAGACACATACATAATAGATACTATAATAAACACCCATATATGTATTAGCTAGAATTAACAAATGATTTACATTTTGTTTCAGGTCTTGTTCTATTAAAAAAAAAAAGTACCCGATACTTTCTCCTTCCTTAGAGGCTGCCATTTCTGAAATTAATATTCATCTTTACATCCACGTTTAAACACTATGGTTACAAATCTATGGCCATGCCACCCTGAACATGCCTAATCTCATCCAATCTCGGAAGCTAAGCAATGTTGGACCTGGTTAGTACTTGGATGGGAGACCACCTAGGAAGACCAGGTGCTGTTAGCGTAAAAAAATAAAAATAAAAATAAAAAACACTATGGTTACATATGTTCATAAATAACATATTTTGTATTTTCAAAATGGTATCTTGTTTCCTTTTGAAATTTTTTTCACTCATTGCTAGTTGACATTTATCCTTGTTGATACTCTCAAGTTTGTTTCATTCATTTATAGTATTCCATTATATTAACTTGCCACAATTTATTTCTCCATTCTTTTATTTGTGGACATCTAGATTGTTTTCATTTTTTGGTAATGCACACAGTGCTGCAATAGCTATTTCTTATTTATTTATTTTTTTTCCATGAGTTACTGCTAATTTTCTGAGATATACCTAGGACTATAATTTCTGGGTCCCAGAATGTGCATACATTTAACTTATCTACATTTTGCTTACCAAAGTGCTTGTTATTAATTTGCATTCCTTCTACTATTCTGCATACATACTTGCAACACTTGGAGGCTTCCTTTTTGCCAATGTGTATACGTGGTTGAGCTTCCTCACTTGCTGTTAGCCATTCAGATTTCATTTTCTGTGAATTATCTGGTCATAGTGTTTACCCATTCTTCTATTGGATTGTTTTTGATCCTTCTGATTCATTAAAACATACATTTTGGATACTACTATTTCGTATACATGAGTAACATCTTTTGCTCTGTGGCTTCTCTTAATCTTGTTTAGGTCATAACTATGTAAGGAAGAGGTAACTTTAAGTCAAATATATCAGTCATTGTTTTGAGCCCCATTTTTATTTTAAATTGTTATGAAAGTGCAGTGCAATACCCAGTTAAAAAATATAATGAAAGAAAATAGCCCATTTATAATAATAACAAAGAATATATAGGAAAATTTTAAAGAAGTGAGGAGGACTTATTTGAAAAAAACTATAAATCTATTCAGAGATACATATGAAGATTTAATAAATGTTCCTGGGTATGACTTGCTTTACTAGAAGTTAAAACATTTTTTTAAATGCTTTCATTAAAACAATGCAGTATAGTACAGGAATAGGGGGGGGAAAATGAAACACCAAAGAGTCCCGGTAAAAATTTTTAAATATTTGTGGAATTTAATATATGATAAAGGTGGCTTTTCTTGGGACAAAATGACTAGTCGTTTGGAAAATATAGATATTAAGGCCAAATAAATTCCAGTTAAGTCAGAGTTTTAAACATACGAAAATATAACTAGAAAAAGACAAGGGCGAATATAATATTGGGGTGGGGAAGGACTGTGCCTTAAAACTCAGAAATCTGTGACCACATAATTCTAATTCTGAATGACAAAAAAGATCACAAAAAATCATGAACAAAGTTTAATTATACTAATGAACAAACTAAAAAAAACTAGGAATACATAATTCAAAAACAATGATCTTCAAATTAAAAAAATACCACTCACAGAAAAATTCGTAAAATATATGGTTGGTAATTATAAAAGAAAATACCACTGTATTCCAATAATCCGAGATTGATATGATTAATAAAAGACTTTTTGGTAAAGTGTGATTCATAAAAGAGTGAAATAAACATGCGGAGTGGCGGGAGAGTGAGAAAATCATTTGGGTGAAGGCTACTTCGGTCCTTGATTTAGTCATTATTATTAGATAAGGATTTTGTACTCACATACCCTTCATTGTGTTTCAACTTTGCTTTTAATAACAAAGAATCCGTGTGCCTGCCCTCCAGAGGAGATGGGTTAAGTAAATTGTGGCATATACTTTCAACGAATGTCAAAGGCAGCCATAAATGACAATGTAGTTAGCATGGAAAGATACTATAGGGTGAGAAGAGCTAGTTCCAAATAGCAAGTATTTATGTAAAATTGTAAATATACACATAGACAGTTATTTCCAAAAATCTCTGGTGTTTAATCCCTTGCAGTGAGAGTTGGGTGAATTTTTTTACAATGAGCATTTATTATGTGTACCTATAATCTGACACATAGATAATCACTCTTAGTTTATTTTCTACGTGACTTTTTTAGTTTATATCTTCAAAATTGGATTCATGCTGTACAAAATTTTACATCATTTTTTCTTTGTAAGATTAAGTGGTGAGCATTTTTCACTGTGTAGTTTCATTGTTAGGAACTACTTAGACATATAGAAAAAGTATGTGGAAAATAATAAAATGACACCCACCATATCAGCCACAAAGCTTTAATAAATTCTTACATTTTTCCATGCTTGGCTTCAAATGTTTTTGAAATTTTTTTTTCTTAAAATATATATTTAAGTCCCTAAGTACTCCGCCAGTCTCACTTAGAGTTATGCATTTTGTCAACATTAAAAATACTTAGAGATGAAGATAATTTTTTTTTTTACTTTAACACTTAATCAACTAAAGGAATTACTACATAGAGATCCTTTTAGATCATTACAAATAATTACCTTTTGATTTTTTTCTCTGCAGCACTAGGCCTGTCTAGAAACAAAAGGATTGGGTAGAAACAAAAGAATTAGAATACAGAGGACCCAAATCTTAGACCATTGGTATTGTTCCATATGACTCTTTAAAATTCTGTCATCAGACAGCAAAGTTGGAAACCACATGATATCACTTATATGTGGGCTATAAACCTAAAAGAAATAAAATTCTATCATATATAGTTAAAGAAAAGGAGGATATTACATCTAAATGGATATGTGGTTATTTTCAGGTTATTTAATAAAAGTATTACTTTTTTGGAATTAAAGACTGAATCCTGGTAAATGTCACCAGTTTTTGACATTTTTAAATAAAAATAGATAATTTTTATGATAATTTGGAAAATTGTTAATGGAACCTAGAAAATTTGCATGGCATAGTAATATAACTTTTCAAGTTAAGATACATATATTTTTTTTTCATAGGACATTAAAGGACTCAGCAAAAAGAGGAAGATGTATCCTGAAGATAAACCTTTATCATCTGAGTCCTTATCAGAAACCGATTATATTGAGGAGGTTAAGTATATAATTAAATCCATTTTCTTCACTTTAAAATGTTTGGTTATTTGATTTAATAAATATGAATTAGTAAAAAGAAATACTTTCAAAGTATTTGATTTACTTTTGTTATTATGATGTATTATGAAAAAAAGAAGTTCCGTTTCAGAAAAAAATTTATATTTTTCAAGAAGATAATTATATTGCTGTTTTGATAACCATATTTTCACATACCTTTCCAGTCTGAGATATATTTACTCTTCTTATATTTTCTTTTTATTATACTATTATTTGATTACATGAAAGGTGCTGTATAATGTATAGCCTATTGAAATTCGCATTCCCTTGTTTTTGTTTGGAACTAGTACTATTTAGGGAGTAGATGGGTGATGAGGTGAAGCAGAAATGTTGGCATGATATCAATTTTTCTATCTATAAAAGGAGAGAGTAGAATTAGATAATCTAGACAGACAGTCCTTTTCAGCTCTGATAGCTCTGTCTTAGATTTTGTACTCTTAGAATTAGAGTCTATTTTTAGTTACTGGTAGGTCTGTAAGTTATCTATTTCTCTCTTTGACTTGGTGTCCTTGTTTGTAAAGTAGGGCTGATTGCCCGCATTTTAGAGCAGTACTTTATAATGCTCCCTGAAATGAAATTTGTAACTAATATCACATATATAAAACCTATACATCTTTATATTAATATCCCCTAACAGAAATAGAAGAAATACAAGAAAATGTCTAATTTTGTTAAATTATATTTCAGTACATAAATGCTTGAGTGTAGTACCTCCAAAAGACATAAAAATCTTAAGACTTAACAAAATTCATGCTGTAGCAGGAGCATTATATACAATCCCTTCAAAAACTGTACAGTGGCATTATCACTGGCATTTTCCAGAATGGTGGACAATTCTCAGTAAAGCTCTCAATGAAACAATAGTCTTTCCTCTATTTATGTGATATTTGCACTTTCGGGACATTTATTGCATCTTAAAACCCTGTACAGAATACTTGGTGTATTTAGCTTCTGTATCATAACATGAATGTCTTAACAGGCCATTCAAAAGTTATGTCATAGACATTGCATGACAGCATCCTTTGTCTTGGCCTAGTTAAATGTGGATGCAACACAGCTACTACTACCACTTCAGTCATTGTTATGACAAGAATAACAAACAACAATAATTTCCTAAGTGCTCTCTAGAGCACTTGCCTTAATATAAAATGTTATTTTTGGACTTAACATTAAATACACATGAGGTTTAGCAACTTTCAATTTAATCTACACTTTAAAGATTGAAATAAAATATTAATGGGGTGATAATTCTTTCTTTAAAGGATTTTGATCAGTGGTTTATACTAAATACAGTATACATATAACTATTATTTATTGGACACCAGAGTTAGAGAAATAGCTACTTTATTCCCAGTACTTCCCCTAGAGGGTGGATATTATTTCCATTTTACAGATGATGAAACTAAGAGTAATATATAGCAGAAGTAGGAATCAGAGCTTGGTATGTTTTATTTCAGAGCTCATGTGTTTTATCCACTGTACTTCACTGTGTATTTTGTTTTTGTTTTTTTTAAGATGATGAAAATATAACAAACGCCCTCTAGAGATTTAAAACTTTAATTTCTTTCCCTTTAAATATTTTTCATTGAATTGAATTCTCATTGTGATGTAATGGGTTTGAGGTAAAACAGCATTTAAGATGTCATTTGGTTGTCAGAATGTTTTTTTACGTACAAATTTTGAAGATGCAATATATATTAGGGAATGAAAAAGAAATGCCTTGAATACAAGTGACATATTTGTCTTCTGTTCTCCACAAAAATTAAACTTTTTAGGTACGAGCAAAAAAGAAGAAAAGCAGTGAAGAACGAGAAAAAGCAACAGCAAGTATCACTTATGTTTTTACATCACAACAGTATAGCTGTTTTTATTTAATATAAAATGAGTCATGGGTAAAGCATGATTCTGTTCACTGGGACCAATTGAATATTTATTGGGAAAAGTGTGCTGTTGAGCTTCACCTGATGGGTTGGAGAAAGTTAAACTGGCTTAGGAAATATGAAGAATACCCTGGTAGCAAACATGTTTCCATTTCAGTATTTTACTATTAGATACATAAACTCAAACTTTTGTTTGTCTTTCTTAAGCTATACTATGAAATATGATGTTAAAGTATGATGATTCCTTCTATCTTCGATAGTGGGTTCTTCCAGATCAACCAAAACTGGTACTAACAGAAAAAGCCTTTCTGAGCACAAAATGCAATGAATAATAAGAAGGAATGTGACAACATAAAGGATATTCAATAATAAAGATGATTCTTTTGATTTCTAAAGCCAGCTCTGCTGTTATGCAGATTGAGAAGTAGGAAAGGTAGAAAGAAGAAGAGAATAAAGAAAATGGCACTGGCATCCAAATGAGAAGCAGACCAACCTAGAGAAAGTGAATAACAAATTATCCAAGAGTAATGTGGACCATATCAGCAAAGTAACTTAAGAGCACCCAGTATCTCTGGGCTATAGCCTTTGGAGGCATTTTCTTAGGGAAAGGTAAAATAAAAATGAGAACAGCATCATTTATAGATTTGAGGGTAACTACACCCTCCCATAATTTCTTTAGGTCTTAAAATGAAAGTCCTTCTCTGATAAGGTTCACCTGGTAATATGTGATTCAGAATTAACATTTTATATGCCTTCAAGACCAAGGTGACATTTGAAAGACTTTTTTTTTCTGACTGGAAGAATAATTTAGATGAAGACTGCTTTGGTCTTTGGTTCAGGTTAATTAAAATATAAAATTAACTAATTTTGGATAATTCTAATCTGAATTTGAAATTCAAAATTACTTCGCTTTTTCATACGTTCAGCTAGCATGCATTTATTAAGCTGTCTGTGCAGGCACTGTTGTGGGTCTTGGTAGAGTTATTTTAATGGAGTACAAGATAGATAAGAGGGCAGTACATGAGAGGGTTACTTAGGGGATGGAAAGCCTCTCCGAGGAAGTAAAATTAAACTGAAACCTTTATAAGGTTTATAAGAAAGAGCTACCATGTGAAGATCAAAGGAAGAATATCCTAGGCAGAGAAGAGCTAAGTTCCTGTGGTGGGAATGAGCTTGATATGTTTGAGGAACTGAAAGAGGGTAAGGTTGGTTTATACCCACTAGATTATGAGGATAGCATACGGTGAGGTTGGAAGTAAGCAGAGGCCATATCACATAGCAAAGTGTTTGGGTTTTAATCAGAATGTTTTGGGAAGCTCTTTTGAGGGGTTTGGGCAAAGAGGTAACCTGAATCAACTTTACATTTTTAAAATGCTTTGGCAGAGGAGCTGAGTGGGCAGAGGTGAGGAATGATCTTTGGTTTCCAGTGGTAGTGTGGAAACGGACTAGCATGATGGATTTGGGATACATTCTAGACTTAGATAGCAGGACTCACTTGGTGCTTTGGATGTGAAGAGTGGAGTTAAAGAAAAGAGTAGATTCAAAGATAGCTTACATTCTTTGTCTAACGTTATATGACATATTAGTGGTGCCAGTTACTAAGATGGCCAAGAGAGGATTTGGAGAGAAAATTAAGCATTTTTTTATGGTAATTTTAGATATGCCTATTAGATAACCAGGTAGAGCTGTTAATGAGGCACTTGCAATCCTGAGGTCACATTATAGGACCGGATGTAAAGATTTTTAAAACATATGACTGGGGAAGCATGTGGGAAAGAAGGGGAAAAAAGCCCTGAAAGGTAGAGCAGAGGAAGAATCAGCAAAGGAAATGAAGAGGTCTTTGTGATAGAAGAGAAACAGCCTGGTGGGTATCAAGGAAACCAAGAAGAAAAGTATTTCAAGAAGAGAGTGTTCAACTGTCCTTTTATGAAAAAGTAACCTATATCCAAAATCTATTTTTAAAAGCCCGAATATAAGATTTTGGACTGTCCCTGTGTACGTGGGCTTGTAATGAAAAGCATGATAAAAGTTAGCGTAAAGCCACAAAGTGATAGAGGCTTTGAGAGAGAAGGGGGGATTGTAGAAAGCTCTGATAGATGAGGAAATAGATACGAAGCTTTGCTTTTACTAAGCGTGTATGTCTCTTTTCTTTTTATTTTCTTCCAAATATCAACGGCTAGTCTATCATTTGATACCACCTGTCTAAGTATCTGTTTCTGAAAGTTCTGCCTTCTCTACCTCTGAAACAGTCACGACGGTC